AGCAAGCCCACTGGGGCTTTTCACCGAGTAAATTGGAAAGCAGGATTCCATTAAAACATTTTCCAGCTAAAGCATTAGATAGATTTGCTCGGAGGTGGTTTCTGTCACAGACAGTGAGGGGTCTCTTCCACCCCTTCCCCCACCCCCCATCCAGTGGTAAATGTAATAGTGAAACAAATTCAAGGGTGTTTCCTGCAGCTATCTTTGTAAGTAATGTGCAGCAGCTTCTCTTAAGGACACTGGGAAGGGGAGAAAATGACTTTAACAGCTTTGGTGGGGGCTAAAGGGCTGCTCTATCTCAGCTCACAGCACCTACTCAGATCCTCCATTCAAGACCACTTGGAAAGCAATGGCGACCATCACCTGTCCCCACAGCCATGGGCAAGGTGAGAGGTCAGCATGAGATCTTTAAATCAAATGGAACTTAATGTGTGTACAACTACAGGTTGTACCACAGCTGTGGGGAAGAGTTCCTGAGCAATTGAGAGTATTTCAAATCAGAACACATTTTCTTTAAGGTAGAACAGCGCCTATGGGTAGCACTAAATGTCCATAACAAGGCTGTCAACTGTACTTCAATTAAAAAACAAATATGCTGTCAACATCCCTAATAATCATACAGAAGCTCCCAGGGCAGATGCTCCCAATCCGCAGCTCAGGCCAAGGCTTGGCTCTAAGGATAGCCTGTGCACACTTCCTCTGAGAGCCATCGCTCTGGAATCTAAAATCAAGGACAGCTCATTGCAAAAAGAGGTGGACAGCGTAAGGCAGGGCTTTGAGGCCGACCCTCAAGAATTTTAAGTCATTTTATTTACGTGTGTGGCCCACTTAAAATACATGAAAGCTTAATATTTGTGACCTGGCCTGTGTCTGTGCGGTGCTTCCAGCTTTGTTAGGTGGGGGCATTTTATTTTGTCCTTCTTTGGGAAAAGATCAAGTCTCAGACCTCCATTGGACATCCCAGCTACAACGGCTCGACTTCTCAACAACTGCAGGAAAGTTCCCCTGAAAGATTCAGATATGGAACAGGCAGAAGACATCAGAAGCTGGAACAGGCTCCTGTTATGTGCCCTGATGCTTTGATATACATTCCAATCCCTCCCATTATATCTGTATCTTCCATAAACATTTTGAAAATAAATAGAATCTGAATGATTTTTCAAAGTATCCTAAGCCTCTTTCAGAGGGAAACCTATTCTAAAGAACATAGCTTAAGGCAGAAATATAGGGTCTGCAAACTGTCTTCAGCAGCTAATGGCCTCTCAATGATTCAAGTTTATTCTGGTGAGCACAAGTGAAGGATGATATTTAAAAAAAAAAAAAAAAAGAATCACAGCAAATCCAGATTTTGTAGACATGACCAAGGAATGGGAAAGGTTGGAACATAACACTTTGCTATTGATTCTATTAAATCATTTTCAGTTTTGCCCAATTTAAGAAAAAAGAGGCAGGCCTATGTCCCACAGAAGAAAGCCCCTCTCTGCTCTGCCCTAAGCTCAGAGCTTGACCTGGAATCGGCACCTGGCCTCTTGTTCCCATCCATGCCAGGGATGTGACCCCCACGGCCGGGGCAGCCCTACACTGGTCAAATTCAGTTGTAATAGGACTAAGTTTATCTGGGAGGAATCAGCCAGTGATGGGAATTTGTGAATTTGCAGAGGGCAATTAAGAACTTTCTGGTTCAGACTCGAACCTCAGCAGGCTTTCTTTCCTTTCTGTCCACACCCCCAGACTCTGTCCTCAGGGCTGTAGGCCAAGTGGAGAGCTGGCCAAACATACCAGGCAACGGGCAGTGAACCATAAACCAGAACCCCAGCTGGTTTCCAGTATGGAAGCCCGTCTCCCCACTCCCGAGGCCAGGGTCTGGGCCCTGCGGCTCTGCAACCCCTGGGTTCAGCATGGCCTCTGACTTGTGCTCCCAGGGGGCCTAAAGGCAGTGGACACTTACCGAACGCACCTTACTGTACCTGCTGGGCAGGAACACTGGCCTTTTTACGCTCTTTAAAACAATGTAGGGAGAGAAGCTTCCTTCCACCCTCAGGTCCTCAACTGGCCTAAGAACTTAGCTGACGTAAGACAGACAGGAGAGAAACAGACACATTATTTAATAGTTTTACATGTACATGGGCATCTTCAGGATGAAATGAAGGCCTTGAGAGGCCATGTGCACCCTGATGCTGTCACACACATTTCAGTCCTTCACACTATACATGTATCTTATATAAACATTTAAAAATAAATAGAGTCTGAATGATTTTTCAAGTATCCTGAGTCTCCTTCACAGAGAAAAACGATTCTAAAGAACATCACCTTTAGGCAGAAATGTAAGGAAATGTAAGGTCTGTCTATATACCTTTTTACACAAAGAGAAGATTGATTGTGGGCATGTGACCAGACAAAGGGGCTGGGGCCAGTGACAGTAAGCTGTGGGACAATGACTCAGAAGTGGGTGAGGGAAACTACTGGAAGGTTAGGGTTGTTGCAGAAGTCTTGTTTGCACAGGTCCACACCAGCATGATGCCTGGTCTCTGGTGATAAGAACGTTCTTCTCTTCCTGGCGCAGGAGGGCACCTGACGCACGAGAAATGCTGTGATCTGCTTCTAGATAGAAGTGGGGGAGGGGGGCTCACAGAGCCCTTCCTGCATCTGCTGTTTCTCATTGGCCTTGGGCTCAACATCATCAATACACCAAAGTGGCATATTTTGGGTTCTGAATCCCCTCAGTAACGATGCCATGATTTCATGCTTGACAACAGAATTTGAACTTGCCCCATCTCAGTTTGCAGGGAAGCTGAGACAAGCAGATGGCATAACACTACATTATTGAGGAAAGCAGCCCATCTATCTATGCATGATTCTTTCCTTTCTGTGATCAATCCAGACTCACTGTGGCTTCTTAGACCCCCTTCTCCTTAAGGGGACCCGGAAGCCCAGTACCGGAGCTCAAGCTAATTTGCAATTCAGATTTCCCTGTGCTCCTGCCACTGAACAGCGGGTCCTGGGCTGGCAGCTCTTGAGGCAGAGCATAAACACGGTCTGTACCTGCTGACAAAACCTCTATAGGATTGTCCGGAGTCCCTGTGGCAAGAACTGCTTATTAGTGGAAAAGAAAATTCTAAAAGAAAACAGTCCAATCAATTACTTTAACAAAAGATTTATTTGAAACAGGTTTGGGCAGACATATTCCAGTCAACAGAATTGATCAAAGCCACAAATCACTACATTTCCCAAACCCTCTGAAAATACAAGTAAATGCCCTTCATTTGTATTCACTCCAGGAGGGAACCCAGCTCCACTATAACGTGCTGCTGTAATTTAACAACCAGAGGACATTAATAGGACGTGAAAATGGTAACACTTCTAGAGGGAGGGAACAAAACCCGACACGCCATAGAAGCGCTCCCCGCTCTGCTGGGAGCCAATTAAACGTGCCCCCACAGCCCCGCTTCTCTCTGCATAACCAGATTAAAACCTCCCTGTCTCAAACAATATTTAAGCAATCTGAGCCCAGATGTGACAGCGGACAGGAGAGCACAGGGCTTTGCTCGCATGAGAAAGACATCACAAAGACGTTGTGCTCAAACAGCAAGTCGGTGGCCTGCAGGGACGATGACCCACTGGGGCTGCAGACCCTGCTGCCCCCGGCTGGCCCTGCGGGTCCCACCCTGCAGCTGGCGCTGCTGCAGCTGCTCGCACTGCCCCTCAGAGGGGGGCTTGGAGGGAAGCAGCCCGGGCGTGCTTCTGAATTCAGCCATCACTGGCAACATGGCAGAGGGAAGACGGAGCATAAGTGTCAGCACTTGCAGTGATTTTACTAACGACAAAACAAAGAAGGATTCGCTTGTGCAGGGATCTTGTTGGAAGGAGAGAAACTATATGACAGGGCGGTTTTTGTTTTTAGTTTTTGCACTGGGGTCCATTGATTCACCTTTAGGAATAAGACTGAATTCCAATCCCATTGGAAGTGGGTTCACAGCCTGATCTTCAGGCTTTCCCCCTTTTTCTGACCCTTTCTCTTCCACACCGAAGAGCTTGCCCATAAAAGGCTCTTGATAAGCTCTCTTGACCCCTCAGTTTCCTGGGCAGGGTTATTTGGATAGCACTGTAACTTCAACTTCCTTCTTCCTATTTCTGTCATCAATCAAAGCCACCTGACACTTTGTTCCTGCCTTTTAAACACATAGGTCTCCCTTCTTTCTTTAGCTGGTTCTGAAGAAATGGCGATGAGCTAATCTCGTGAGCATGCTTTTCTTGGTCCGGTGCCTAGGAGCAGGAGCAGAGTCCGTATCTCTAAGGCAAGTGGGGCAAGAGATTGTCACGTGAAAGGGCACCAGCCTGGGTGTATAAGAATCACTCTTTTGTGTCCCCGCGGTCAGGAGGCAGAGTTGTTTGTCAGTCCACAGCTATGGATTAAGTTTGGGGTGGGGTCATGGCGGGATTGGCGGGGGCGGGGGCGGTTCTGTTCTGCTGCCGTTTGTCTTGTGGCTCCTGACTGTTCAGATTTAGGTTGGCTCCGCGGCCTTTCCTTTCTGCTGAAGACTGTGCACCCCGATTCACCGCTCACTCACACCCCACAGACTGGGAGAGAGCTTGAAGCAGAGCACTAGGCGGTGGGGCACTGAATGAAACTCTTGCAGGTACCAAGGGAAAGGAAACGTGCGCTCTCGGACAATGCGGGATGCTGAGAAGTGACTGGAGAGGACAACACACTGGGCAGAGTATTCCCAGACTGTCACTTTGGGGGATATTTACTAATAAATCATTGTGGGGGATCTGGGGCCCTCACCCTTACAAACTACCAAAAACCCTTCCATCCGTGCCCGCACTTCAAGATGAAAAAAACAGCTAGTATGAGGCTGAACACAAAATACTCCCCCTCAGGGCTAACCTGGGACTAACCACTGCCTGAGTCAAGGAGGCAGCAGCGAAGCCTAGGGGATGTCTGCTTTCCTTTCTTTGGCTTTATTTTCCCTCCATCACTATTATATTTGCTAATTTAATCATTCCATGAAGAACATATTTAATGAATATGGAGGGGATGCCATGATTTAACTTGACCTGATTCACTCATTTCTTTGCCAAACTATTATTTCAGACTCTGCTAAACCAAAGGTCCCCTGTTCACATAGTTTATGGATCCCACGAGATGAAGGCTACATTTCAGATGCTGAGCCTAAACCACTCCTGGAATTACTCTGGGACAATGACCCTCAGCTGTAATTCAGGCCTGGCTGAACTGCGTGCGTGCAGTTCTTTCACAGGTTCGAGACTAAAGATTGTCTGATCCGAAGGCAGAGTTTTGCAAACATTCTATTCAACTTATGGTCTAAGACATAAATCCCTAGGAACAGGAATATGATAGAAAACTCTCTTTCTTACGGTTCAGAAAAGTAAGAAAAAAGGTCCTTGTTATAATAAGTGGAGATTAAGACTATTGCTTTGTTTAAAAAGAAAATTTACCTTAAAGCCTATAATATATATATCCATTTGCATTTTCAGACATTAGTTATTTAGACTCACTTTTTTTTTCATTATGCACTGCTTCTTGACAAGTTATTACTGATTTTCACTGCCAGCTCCCCATAGCAAGACTTGAAGCCTTGTCAAGGAAAAGAAGATGTCAACAAATTTCTCAGCCATGCTCTGCTGAAATTCAGGTCCACGTCTTAGGATTTTTCTCCCTACTAAAGAAACAGCATCCCCTTTCTCCAAAGCACAGGTTTTGTATGAGCTCTATTTCCAAAAAAAGGGTTATCACATGTGTGCATGTGTGTTGGGAGATGGGAGAATGTAACACTGGTCAAGAAGCCTGGAATATTCTGCATAGAGACACGTCAGACACAGCTACACGCCAACATTATTACAAAGCCCATTCTGATTAGCAGCGAAGGCTGATCCAGAAAGCCAAGCAGAAATGGTCGGTTTATTCTGCTCTCTTAGCCTCCCTTTTCAATATGCACTTTGCATTACCATCCTCTGGCCCAGATCACTGCATAGCTCAACTCACAACTGCAAGCAGGGAATGGCTGGTCTTTTCCTACTGCAAGGTCAGCTGGAATGGGACACAGACTCACACAAAAGTCAGCAGTCTGTGTACAACACTAAGCTGAGACAGGGACTCTGTGGGTTCTGCCACTTTAGCCCAATCCAGAGTCAGGCTCTATAGTGCTGACCAGCTATGACCTGCTAGTCTGTGTGTCACTTACTGTGTGGCAGAGTGACAAGTCCCATGTGGCATTTCCACTGAGCTGACAGCTGGAGCAGGCAACTTAGAACAGTCTACCCTGCTCCCCAGGGAGGGGTTGTGTGTGACATTCTGACCTCAATTTAAAGATACAACAAATGACACAGCCCCTGAGTTGGCCCCAGCTAAATACTGTACATCACACATAGTGACAGCTGCTCCTTCTAGAAACCCAATTTAGTCATTTGTCTACAAGATAGCTTAATAGCATGAAAGAATAAATAGAAATGCATTTCTTCTAATATTTTCTTCTGTGGGCATATTTCATTATTGCAAAGACTTTAATCTACTTCTTAAAAGAACTGGAAAATATACTTAAATCTCAGAAAATCTGAATTGTATTTTTTAGCATTAAAAAAAAAAAGCAAAAATCCCAACACAAAACAAAAAAACCACATACTGTAATTCACAAATCTGATATGGAAGACTTCAAGTTCAAGAAAGAGCTAAGGGCTTGACAAAGAATTGAGTTTTGAGTTCCCCTTTCCAAATAGGCTTGTTTCCAAATGAAACCAAATAGAATGTCTAATGCACACTCAATCTGAATTTTCCTTTCTCTTCTGTATTTAGAACATCATCTTCCTGGGTGTGCAATAAAGACATATACCTCGGTTTGCAGTGTTAACTACATGCATATTTTTGTGTTGTAATTCCTGAATGATAATCCAATGAATGATTCATTCATCTTGCTGGGTGCTGTAGTATTTAAAAATGTTTTATATCATCTTGAGGAGGAAGGAATGGCAATTTTCTGAGGCTCACCTGTTAATTGCATTGTTCTACTTTCCCTTAAGCCCCCTCTGGGTCTTGGTCACATGATAAGAAAGGGATTAGTTTTCCTAGTCAATGCAAATCATACTCTAAATTATTACAGTGCCCAGTAAGATGTGGATATTCTGAAAATAAAGGGTTAGGAAGCGAAGTGCACTATTATTTCCTAATTTAGCACAGCCATCCCCAGAGGAATGGAGACATTTTAACCAACAACAGCTGCCCAGAAATATTTATGTTAAGCCATCCAAAATTCTGGCTTGGCAGCCAAAGCCGAGAGGAGAGAATGTGCCTCTCAGCTGGTCATTTATTAAGGGTTCCAGGTGCTTATTCATGCCCGAAGGCACCCAGGTTCTGTCCAGATTTAGAAAGTGGAACTCCCCAGTCTGGAAAATCAGTGACTCAGCACTTCCCTTCTTGTTCTTCCGTTCAGGACATTTCGTATTCAGACAGGTGCCTGTGTCTGCCTCTAACGGGATAAGGAAGGAAACTTAATCGGTATGAAAAAGGGCATTACCTTCAAATGTTTGGAATTCTTTTCGACTAAAACTGCATGTCAGTGTCTTCTTTGTGGCCCAGACACATTCAGCTGATCATGACAATTGTCTGGGCTCCAGGGCTTAATTTCAGTTTCTACTGAAGAGATGCGGTGGAAAATGTCCTCGGTGCCCTCCTTCCGATGTCTCTGTGTCCTTGCTTCTTGCTTTCTCCTCGGATGGGTGTCTTCCTCCCTAATCCTCAGGGTCCTGTACTCCCCCATCTGGGTCTACTCATTCTCTCTGACTTTAGAGGTACAGAGCGAGAGATGTGTTCCTTCTCTGAGGACACATGCTACAAAATCATTCATTTCCCAACAGTGAAAATCCAAAATGTGCTCTGAACTCCCAAGAAAAACACGTGTGGGTTCCAATTTAAGTGAATGCCAAGGTCCAGTGGCTGGAAGGCTGGGAAATAAATACTGAGACCCTGACCAGGGCAGGGGGTGTTGAAGCAGTTCCACCACCACCCTGACCTGCTTTCCTGTCATCAGAGGCAGATAAACATTTAGAATATATGCGGAATAGCTATGTCTCTTTTCTTTAGTCACAGAAGGAAAAGGGAGGTGGGAGAAGGGACTTCTTGCATCCGTATCTGAATCTGTGATAGAACAGGAAGGGTGCCAATGTGGGGTGGTTGCCCGCCAGCTGCCATGCTCTGCGCACAGTAGTCAGCCATGCAGAAGGTCTGAGGACAAGGGACGCCTGGACTGCAGAGGACGGCTGGGGACGAAGCATCTGGGGAGGTTGCAGAAGTCTGCTGGGATACCGACTGGTCTGCCCTGCTGGGAGTGTGGCTGAGAGGTTCCAATAAATGTTCTCAGTCTTACCATCCAGATACAGATTTTTGTGATTTCACTACAATCAAGAAGTTTATGTCAACTTCATACAAACAAAATAGGAATCAAATCGAGGCAGCAACCTGCCCAATGTGAAGCTTATGTGCTGCTTGGTGGCCTTAATCTGTGAGCTAACAACAGGAAGTGTGTCCCTGCACCAGCGCCACAAGATGGGTTTCTCATGCAACATAAAACTCTCTTCCCTTCCTCCCGGAACAACTAGCACTGATGTTTAAATGTTGGTGAAACATAACGTTTTTAATTTCACACCTCACAGAGCACAGTTGAATGTTCGTAACAAGGTAAACAAAACATAGGCCAAGCACTGCAGACAAATTGGAAGGGGAAACGGCGTCCCCGCGCGGCATCTACTTCAGGTTTGTGAGGGAATATGGACCTAACAAACGGGTTGGCTAAGGCCACAGAAATGTGTTTTCCCGTGTTTTGGCTGCTGAGACCAGTCTCTTCTGAGAAACGTGTATTAACACTGGGTGCAGTAAACTGCATCTCTTTCCTAAGATCGACAGGAAAACTCGAGTGTTATTTTTTCCTCGATGTCTTTTTGGTTGTGTCGTAAGCACGGACGATTTCTTCCTGAGAAACAGCTCCATGCTCTTCTTGAGAGAAGGCATACCCGTCTGAAAGAGAAGCACACCAGAGGAACTGGTTAAGAGGGGAATAGGGAGCATGTGAGGTTTAGCAGAAGATGCCTTTTGGGAGGACTGCGCCTGAGCTTCGACACACCGGCCCCATTAGCCCTGGCTGGGTGGGGGCCTGTGACACAGAAGGGGAACCTGGGGACAGCATGGGTGTGGAAGCAGGACGCAGCCTGACCAGGCAAAGTCTCCATGCTTCTGGCTGCTGCTTCGGGTGCTGGGATGGGGATGGCTCAGCGGGGCGGCTGCCAATTCTGGGGGGCTGCAGCCGAGCTCAGCCTGGGAAGCATAAACAGTGGGTCACTGGTCCATGTCTGGACTTTCCCACCACCAATCAAGGGGAAAGGCAGGTCGTTCTGCTCCAGAAATGTCCCGATCTGCCTGAAACTGCAGGCTGGCCAGGCAGTTTATGAAGCTGTAAACATGCTGGGGAAAATGCGCACAGCACTAATAGTGAAGGCTGGCAAAGTGCACGTGATGCTTACAGCGTTCCTGTTTTTAAGTTGGACTGATTTGGACTAGGAATAAGAAATTACAGTGGACTTGTTTTTGTGTAAACAAAGAAAAAGATCACAAGATAAAGTCAAGAGCAATTTAGTGATTGGCCCTGTGGCCACAGGAAGACTGGTTCCTATAATCGATTCCAATAATAATAATGATAATAGCAGCAGCCAACATGTATTAAATGCTCTATGTATCAGGCACTGGTCTATGTACTATGCACAAATAACTCATTTATCCCTCCCAACAGCCCTATGAGACAGGTGACCATACTCCCATTTCACAGATAGGGAAACTGAGGCAGAGGGTGATTCCATGGCATGCCGAGGTCACAGAACTAGTGAGTGGCAGCTGGGAGCCAAATCTGGGTGGCATTTCTGCAGGACCCACACACTCTGCAATTCCAGTTCTAAAAGAGGTTCCGCCCGAGTGGGGCTTTCCTTCCTAACTGGGTCTTCCCACAGAAGGGACGTTCCTAAGACTCCCACTCCATTGGCTAGCCTTTCTGGGTCAAGGGTACAGAGAAGTCCTGCTGTCATGGATGTTTCATTGTGACCAAAAGACAAGACAGTAAAAAGCCTGACAACTGCGACTCCCAATTTCCGTGCATATTTATGACCTATGAAGGGAGCTGTTAGCTCACGCTCACGCTCACGCTCTTTAAAGGAGAAAGCCGAATCAGAAATTGGGCCCACGTTATCATCCTCTCCTGTCTTGTTGATTATTTTACTCAGACATTTGGCTTAAAAAGGAAAGTCTTGGAGTATAAAGACTGACAGTAGCAATGTCAAAGAGAGTCTCGGTGGGCATGGAGGAGAGGCAGAGAGTTCAAAGGAAGGCGCTCAGGGTGACCTCTTACTCTGCATGTGTCCCTAAGTCCGGAGTCGGTCCCTGGGCTCGCTTCCCAGCTTTTCCCAAGAGCATGCCTTTCAGCCACTGTCTGAGGAGGCCCAGGGGCTCAGGAGGCCACCCCAGCTGGCAAGGGCCTGTGTGCAGAGGTGGTCTGGGAGTCAAGGAGGGCAGGGCTGGGCGGCAGGGCATTTGCAGGAGGAACAGGGAGCCTCCCACGGGATGTCTGCCCACTCACTCACCTGCATCTCTTACAAATAACCTACAATCCAAAATCCCTGCTGTGGGGCAGCCCCCAGGCCAGGTGAGCCCCACCTAGCAGGGCACAGAGCAGGCAGCATCCCTGACAGTGGTGAGGAGCAAGCCTGGGTGCCAGGCTGGGCCCTGGGCCCCGTGCACTTGAACATCTCCTGAGGGCTTTTCACACCCAGAGCCCTTTGGCTTGGGAGGCTTCCCAGGATCTGAAGAGGAAACACCCCCTCCCACCCCCGAGTCCCTAAGAGCTCTTAGGTTTTCACCGAGTGGCTTGATCAGAGATGACCCGACCAGAAGCCTTGTTGTCCGGCCTCTGAGGGGGCAAGTGGGCCCAGCCACCTCCCTCACTTGTGCATGGTGCTCCGCCTGTCCCCAGCACAAGGTTCTCTTTGTGTAGCTTTCTTCCTGCAGTCCCAGGCCAGATGCCTTTCTTGGGGTGTTTCAAAGCAAAATCTAGCAAAGAACACCACCTCCTCCAGTCTCAGGGCTGTGGACTGTGGTCAACTTGGACAATTTTCATTCTCTGGTCTTTTCAGGGGACCATTTCCAGTAAACACGTGATGTTCCCCCAAGCGGGCAGCCAGCAGTTGTCTTTGGACCCAGCGTGCAGCCGGAAGGTGGCCCTGCCCCAGCGCTGCAGGCCTGGGGATGCGCTCAGCCCACAGAAGCGGCTCGGGTGCCACGTGATGGGAGCACCTGGGAAGTGCTTTTTGTGAACCATCTGGCGGCAGGGAGATAACCTCTGAGCTCTCCACCAGATGCTGGCTTTGTCCCCCTGCCTTGCCTCCGTCCTGGACCCAGGGGTCCAGGGCCTGAGACACTGGTGGGCAAGGGAGGGCGCTCATCCTCGCCTGGCAGTGTCTTGACCATGGGACCACAGGTTCTTTAAGCTTTCTGCGTCGTTTTGGTTTACTTTTCTGTAAAATAAAGGGTCTGTGCCAGGTGAGGTCCTCATTCTTTCACAGTTCCAACCTTCCAAACGGGCACTGGCACTTTTCCAGGGCTCACTACACCCAGGCCACAGACCCCACTCCCTCGTTTAGGGCTGATTTATTACACTTGGCACCAATCAGGGAGGCCTCTACCCCTAGGCCAGAAAAGGGGCAAGCCTGTCTCAACAATCAGTCCGGATAGAACAGTTGCTACCTATCTTATTGATGTGTTTTTGAGGGGTGCTGGTGGAGGGAAGGAATGGTGGAGACATAAATACAAGCACAGTTTGGGGGCATCCTTTGGGAAAGGCAACTTAGCATTTGGAATTGTCTACTCCCTGTTCAAATGGATGGAACAAAAGTGTTGTCTTTCATTTGCTCTGTTTTTCATTCACATCCTGCCTGTGCGTCCTGGGTGGCCAAGTGCAGTGGATTTCACAGCTTGTGGCTGCAGAGCATCCTTGACTGGGGTTTGTCTTACTGGCACAGGGGCCTTCTGGTGGGATTTCTTGGCCACTCTGGGATGGAAGGGTTTCTAGGTTTCCATCAGAGAGGAGCTTCTGTCTCAGCAGCAAACCTCTTCTCTCAGGCCAAGTGGAGCTCCCAGAAGCCACACAGCAGAGGGTTTCTCCACCAGGTCCCATAGGTTGCTTCTACCTAAGATGCTATTTACCATCATGCTTCCAAAACGTTGTGTGCTATGACCTTTTTAGCCTCAACTGAGACTTAAAGTGGCCTCTGCAATTCGAGAATAAAACGGAGATGGCCTAATGGGGTTATCCTGGGGACAGGGGCATCTCCCTGGTTCAGACACAGTATTTTTCTTCTAGAAACCAGGCATGGTAGGAGTTAGAGCTATAATGGGTGAAGCTTTAGCTGGGCAGCAGGGACCATAACCACCCAGCTAGCCTCTGCCAGCCCAGCCTGCACCCCTCAGCCTGACAAAGATGCATGATTGGTGCCCCAGCTTCTGCCTGATGAGCATTTAACTGCCGTTTGTACCCAGACAGGGAGCTCAGAGGAAGCGTCTAGCTCTTGGCATTTCCCATTCTCATTCCTCTCCGGAAGTCCAGACAGCCAGAAAGTAATGATGGGTGCCTGCAGAAGCCCCCAATGGGCCCAACAGTGAACTTTCCCTGGCTGTCTTCCTAGTACATCTGTTTCCTAAATACGTAGCCACACCAAGGGTCTGGAGGCGGAGCGCAGTGGGTGAAAGGTGGGGGAAGGGGAGGCGGATGTCTTCGTTGCTCTGTCTTCTCCTGGTAGAACTTTTGGTGAAGTCCATAAAGTCATGTCATTTTTTCCATTATTTTAGCATAAAACTCCCCTTAAGTAGCTTCCTTCAAATCGGAGCTCTGATAGCATCTCAATGAAAGTAGAAGTTTCCTGTCTGGAAAAAGATTCCCAATAGCAATAGAAATGGGAAGACTGTGGGCCGATAGGGAAAGCGCACCGTGTAGGAAATGCTAGGCTCAGTCACGGATACTGTGTTTGGTGGCCCAGGAGGCGCTCCAAGTACTACCAAGGTGAGAGTTTTCCTTCTAGTTTCCTGGGAAGACTGAGCCCCAAGACAGCTAAAGGATGGACCCAGGAGGGACAGGCAGAGGCTGAGACAAGCTGTACAGAACTTGTCACACACCAGGAGCAGTTCTAACTGCATGGTGGCCTGTAGTTGTTAATGACAGAAGCATTCTGTTATTAGTCAGGCTCTTCTAATCGCTGAGTGTTTTTAAAAGGTGGCATGATGCTAGGGGCTTCTTTATTTCTTGTCCTTGTTCATTATGATTTTTTAGTCCTTCAAAATATTAGGAGTTAAGAAAAATGTTTAGTAGTTGTTTTAGGATATTTTTTGACTCTCCCACAGAAGTTCTCACTTGATCTTTGATCTCAATATATATATATATCACATATATTCTCTCTGTGGTTTGGAACATTTATTAGGGAAGCAGCCTGGCTCCACAGAACAAACACTAGTTCAGGCGACCAGGCCTCACTTCCTGCATGCCTGGCGTAGAGGAGGGGCTTCCCCTGCACCCTCCCACAGCTTCACAGAAGCTCTGTAAGAGGTACAATTTGACTTTTTTTCCAAGAGGAGAAAACAGATGTTTAGAAAAATATGTAAGTTGCTAAAGTTACTCAACTAGGGGCAGAAGAAAAATAGTAGTAACTGACATTTATTGGATTCTATATTGTCAGGTACTATTCGAGGCACTCCATATATATAATCTCATTTAATGCTCCTGATAAGCCCAGGTAGGTTCTCATATCATCTCCATTTTACAAATGTAGAAACAGAGGGTAACTTACCTAGGGTCACAAGAAAGTGGCAGAGCTGGTTGGCACAGGATGCCAGGGCACTCGGCTGCAGGGGAGGGACCCCACAGACCTCGTGCCTTGGACTTACACCAGCAAGCCTCCCTCCCAGATCAGAGAGACCGTGGCTGTGGCCCAGGTGGCCGGGCCTGCTACTGCACCGACCCGAGCCTCTGCCAGCACTCTTGGGGCTGCCACCACCTGCCCCCTGGGGCAGCGGAGCATTAAAGGACATGAAGCATGGGAGGCCCACACAGAGCTGGTCTCTGTCCCTTTTTCCCCGTGTGGATACGCCATGTGGGAAAGGGTGGAGAGGAGGTGGGGTACAGAAAAGTGACAGCATTCCACTACTTCCCTTCTTTGTCTGTAAAAAAGTTGTGAAGATCTGTTGCTGGCGTGGAGTTTAATAAGACTCCACATAGATCCTTCAATACCTATGCTATGAGTATGTGATTCTCCACTTTTCCTAAGCATTCTTGGTCTACCAGCTGTTTCCTTCTAAACTCAGGGAGAGAAAGGTAAGCAGGAGGTGGGCACCTGCTGGACAGGTGGTGAGCGGGTGCTTAAGAGAGCAAGCGAGGGCTGGAAAGAGGGGGTTCAGAGAGGTGGGACCAGGGTCCCATAGACAATGTGCCAACAGGCTTCAGCCCTGGGGAGGGCAGGCAACCTGAACGAAGGAAACCCGCACTCTCATGACACCCCTGAGCCAGGAGCTGGGTGGCTGGACGGCTAAAATAAGCCCAGCACCCTGTCTTTCTTGGGCTCCCTGGCCCACTGGGTCCGGCGTCTCCCACAGATCCCTGCTTGGGAAGGCTCCTTTGGCAGAAACCAGGCCTGGCCGCTGGTGCTCGGAGTGGGGACACCAATGCCAGCCAGAAGGCAGCCTTCCTGGGAAAACCACAGAGATTTTTTTTTTTCCCAGTGATTGTCAAGGTTTTAATGAATATGCTAATATTATATAAAACAGTGCATATTGCTATCTTTGGGGGAACAATTTAAAAGTAGTATTGCTTCAACCTTAGAAAAAATCCTATTGGGAGGCTTGACACCAGGATCTAAACCACATCAGGATTTTAAGTTTAAGGATGTCATTCAGGCATTTGATTGGGTCCCAGGGAATTACCTACATTCAAGCTGTGCTTGCCTTGGGCCAGACACGTGGATTCCAGTTCCACATGTTGGGGCTCCAGCGTGGCAGCCGTCTCCTTGCCCATTAGCACCACCTGCGCTCTAATCCAGCCTCCCAGCTCCCCTGCGCGGTCAGATCTCACTGACCTGAGTGGGTGACAGTGACACTTACGGGGGACGCTCTGCTGGAGGGAGCCTGCGCGGAAAAGGGTGGGCGGGGTCTTCCTGCTGAGCCTCTTCAGAAGGCGGTCCCGCTCGTTCATCCTGTGGGTGAATCAAACAGTCGCTAGTTCACAAGGGCTTGGCTCAAAGGTGCTCAAAGGCGACTTCAGGTTGTAAAAGAAAACAGACAGGTAAAAAGCTTCCCCGTGTCAAGAAACATGTCCAGTTTCACAAGCGGTCCTCTATTTACAGTAGATGCTATCTCCACACTTTGAGGGCATTGCTCCCTCTTCTAAAAGACGCTCTGTTTCCGTCTGTCCTGTACACAACGCCCCTAAGCTCTGCTTCCTTTTAACCTGAGGTACAAGTGCCCTTTCATACCAGGAGGACCCCGGGCTTCCCCGAACACTCGCAAGGAGTGATCTGTTTCTATGGTAAAAGTCTTCAAAGCCTGCATCCCACCCACAGCTGCCTTTCCGGGGCCACTAAACTGTGCCAGGTCAAGAGTCCTCTCTAAGTACCTCCGGCCCCTGCAAGAGGCGGGTTTGTTTCAGCAGAACCTGATTCTTATTTTGAACCACAATGAAAATCAAGGTGAGTTTTCTTCGAAAGCACAAGGATTAAGGGATCCTCCTCACTTCCCTGAAATTATTCCCTCCAAAGAAACCACTTCGGGCATATTGGAGTTTGCCGATGCCCTCTGTTAGGGGTTCAGCTGTGTCCCCTCAAATCCCAGTACCTCAGAATGGGACTGTTGCTGGAGATAGGGACTTTACGGAGCTGATTAAGTTAAAATGAGGTCATTAGGGTGGGCCTTAATTCCTTATGACTGGTGTTCTTTAAAGGAGAAGGGACTGGGACGCAGACACACATGCAGAGACGAGGCCATGTGAAGACAAAGGAGGAGATGGTGTCCACAAGCCAAGGGGGGGCCTCAAAAGGGACCAAAAGGGACCAGCTCTGCCTGCACCTTCCTCTCGGACTTCCAGCCTCCAGAACTGTGAGATGATGCATTTCTGCTGTTCAAGCCATCCAGTCTGTGGTACTCCATGCAGCAGCCCTCGTAAATGAATATACCCCTGTCTGCTATTTGTGGGAACTTGAGGGTCTAGGAGTTATTTGCGGAGCTGCACCTGCTCACCGTCCGTAGTACCTGCCCTTCCCCATCCGTGAGGCTGGGTGTGCTCCTGGCAGGAGTCCACTTCACCGTTTCCCCAAGGGCCTTGGGGAGGGGAACAGGGCCCTGGGTTTTCCCAGTGGTTCTGTGAGCTCAACTACATTTTGCACGTGGGTTTCCAGAAGAGAGCGTTTTCTGATTATCTGATTGAAAGGACGACGTTTAATTCATTACCAATTAAGGGTGAGTCTCAGCTAGCGAAGCTTGGCAAAATATCTGGGGGCTGATGAGGAAAAACATTGTTTCTCTCCCTTCACACTGGCTTTCCTTTCCCTCTCGTATCTTTTTCTTCATCTGGTCAAACGAACCTCACTGGGCCCTGCCGAGTGGCTGCCCTGGACTGCCTGTTGTCTGACCCTCTGCGGCCATGCCGTGGGTTGCAGCTCCGGGCTGGCAGGTTTGAGGATTCAATAAAGGGCCATCCTCCCCATCTCACCTGGCAGGAAGGCACCGCAGGGCAGCCTTCCCAGCTGGGCGTCACGTGGGAGGTTCAGGGCGGTGAAGGCACTCTGTGCCCTGGGTCCTCACCTCCTCTCTGCCACCCTGATCTCCTCTGCCCTGGGCATCCCTGGTCCCTCCCACAGTTCACGTCCGCAGGCTCCTCCTTGTGCTGGGCTTGTGAGAACCTCACAGAACCACGCGAGTGGGACGGGTCTTTGAAATCACACCTGCTGGTCTTTGGGCAGGTGAGGACTCAGACTGAGCTGTGCCAGATACAAAGGGCCCAGCAGTGCTACTGCGCCCGCCTCTGGGCCTGGCAGATGTCCTCGATTCCCTCATGGAATGTCCTATGCTTTTCTCTCTCTTCTTCTTTTGTAATGAAATATTCCAAACACAGAGAAACAGAGGCTTGTAGAGCAAAGAGCCACCGCCCCACTCAGCCTTAGCACATGGCACCCCGACTGCCTGTACTTGGAGGGACTCATTCTGTCCTGCAGCCCTTCCTCCCACGTGGTGAAGGGTCCGTGGGGTCAAGGAGGCATGTGTGCTGACAGCCCACATCAGTCCCGCACACCAGGTATTTGGGACCCTAGAAGTGCTTGCTTAGCGGCCCCCACGCTGGCATCCAAGGCCAATCCAACCTCCTCACCAGCTCCACCCCCTAAAAGTAGATGGCAGAGCTGGTGTACACACTCCTAGGCCAATGGGGGTGGCTAAAAGGTGTTTTTTTTGCGTAGGATGTTTGGACTGGGATGTCCACCCACATGTGTGCATCCCCTCCCTCAGGGCAGGACAGAGCCGGAGTTGAGAAGAAAGCCTGGGTCCACAGGGCAGCCACCACTGCCGGCTCAGACCTCCACAGAATCTGCGAATCACAAAGCTCCGCAGTCTTCACGAAGGTGCATTCATCAAGGTAGTTATTCGTTAGCCTGGCTTCCAACCTTCACATACTTTAGACGTGGTACATGGCCTCTATTCTACCCTTGTACCCACTCCTGCAAATGTCAGTTCAGGAACATGCCCATTGTGAGAACTGCTTCAGATTTTAACAAAATAATAAAATCTTGAATATAAAGTCCCCTTATGCTCCCTGATCCCATTTTTCTCCCTCCTACTACAGTACAGTTCGAAATCATCTTCCATCCATATTTCATACTTTTACTTTGTATATACATGCATTCACAACTAGTATGTAATCATGTTTTAAAATATGGCTGATTGGTGTCATTTATTTTATACTTCCTGTTTATTGTATTTTTTCTTTGTTCCTTTTCTTCTTATTTTCATTTGTATTATCTACTCATTTAGAGGTCTAGCTCTTTGCAGGTAATATTTCTAGATGCTTTTGTAATAATTCTCTTTGTCTTTGGTGTTCTTCAGTTTTGTTATAACACTCAGTATGATTAGAAACAGATTTGTTTTTATATCCTGCTCAGATCTGAAAGCTTTAATAACTCAAAGGTTTGTTTATCTTCACTTACGGTAAGTATTTTGAATATTGCCTCTCCTTTATTCTTTTTTTCTTGTCCAATTTTTTATATATAAAAAATTCTATCTTCCACATCCCAGAAGTCTCCTCCACAGTTCCCATTTCCTTTTTCCCTTTGGTTTTGTCTAAACTATTGTCAAACTAACCAACATGCTTTATTTAAAATTACTACCCTTTTCATGTCTATACCTTTTATTTTTCTCCCAGATCCACCTGCTCTGACATTTTATCCTGCTCTTCCTCTTTGGTTTCCGTTATCTTCTTTCTGTCAGTATTTCACAGACCCTTTCAGACATTCCTTGCATCTCCAGTTCTTGGGGAGCTAATACATTTCGGTTTATTCAATGATTCCATTCCATGGTGGTCCATTTACTATGTGTGCTGTAGTTATGGAATCATTCTTCAGAATGACCAATTTTTATATTATTGTCTCAGTTTAGTTCCTGTAGTACTGGGAATAGCCTAAAATTGGACCTCATCCATAAGCATGGGCTTCCTGTTTCTAGCAGGTAATTCTTTCTTCCATCCATTTCCCTGGGTACATAGTATGACTCATTGCTGCTTTGTCAATCTAATGACTAAAATTTTTTTTAGTGCCTGTTTCACTAAGATAGCAGCCCTACAAAATTTTCAGCTTTATGTGCAGGATTCGGTTCGACGTCACGTGGGACGTGGGTTTGTCTCCTCTCCCTACCTTACCCCTGGAGCCTTCTATGAGGCCTGACAGCCCCGCGCAGCCTCCTCAGCTTCAGCTCCCTCTTGCCCTGCCGTCTTTGTCTTTGATGTCTCTCCATTTCTGGTACCTAAGTTTCCCAGTGTTTCTTTTGAATCTGATTATGTATTTGAAAGCCATTCTTTGTTCATATTTCAATCCGGCATTTCTATGTATTTGGAAAAGTCCTCTCTGAGCCAGCTTAGTCTACCATATTGACTCTATCTGGTTTCCATGAATAATTTATATTTCCCTGACCCAATTACTGGAAAACATTATGGCTACAGAACAAGATTACAGAACTGTTCTTTCCCAAGTCATGCTGTCGTCCTTAGAAATCATCGTTTCTGAAGACTTTTAAAATAGCAATGGGAACTGAAACTGTAAGAGCTAAAACTTAAAAGAAGACATGATACATTTTTATGACCTTTGATTTGGCTATGGTTTCTTAGATATGATACCCAAAGCACAGGCAACAAAAGAAAAAAATAGATTTGGATGATAAAAGGGTACTAGAGCTTATAAAAACATCCTACCGGAGGTGTCAGAAGCACTGACTTCACCTGCGCTCCAATGTTGAAATGTCAAGGAACATTATTTTCCCAACTTCTTTTTCTTCTTTGAGGAAGAAAAGATGATTGTGAATGAACATTATTAAAATTTCTCATGAACAATAATGTTGGGGAAACTCAAGATAGAAAGGGGTGATAATAAGAATAACACTTGCCATTTATAGTATTTTATCATCTATGTATGGTTTGGAAACTACTCATAAAGACAGGAAAAAAGGTAATGAAAAACAATAAAAGTTTTACTTTGGTTAATTCTGAATAATGGCAAGAAAAGAAAAAATATAAATTAGCATAGGGAAAAACAGTTTAGATTTATGAGATTTTGGTTTAAAAAGAGAGAGAGAATCCTCAACAAGATACTAGCAAGCCAAATTCAGTAGTGTAATAAAAAGATTATGCACCATGACCAAATGGGATTTATCCCAGGAATGCAAGGGTGGTTCAACATAAAAAAAAATCAATCAATATAATGCACCACATTAATTTGATGGAGAAAAATTATCACACAATTATCTCAATTGATGTAGAAAATGCATTTGACAAAATCCAATACCTATTAATGATAAAAATACTCAGCAAACTAAGAAGGTAAATTTCTCAACACAACAAAGGGTAATTTATGAAAACCCACAGTTAACATCACAGTCAATGTTTGAAAGACTGAAAGCTATTTCTTCAAGATCAGGAACAAGACAAGGATGCCCACTTTCA